ATATATATATATATATATATATATATATATATATATATATATATATGTGTGTGTGTGTGTGTGTGTGTGTGTGTGTGGTTGTGTTTGTGTGTGTATGCGTGGAAGGGGTTATGCGTGTGTGTGTGTGTGTGTAACTATATTCATTGCCTTACAAAATAAATAACTTCATTCAACAAAAACTTCCACCCTGAAACAAACTTTATTTTTCTAAAGTTACACCACGATGTCGCTGTAAATATATAGCAAATATGTACAAGATAGTGTGCACAATTACACTAAGAAGAACGGACGTAGAGTTTATTCTCTCTCTCTCTCTCTCACACACACACACACACACAGCACACACAAAGATATACAGACACAAAATATATATATATATATATATATATATATATTATTATTATTACTATTATTATTAATATTATTATTATTACGGATTATCCGACAGAATAATAGAATAAGGAATAAATAAAAATCGATTATCAATTTAACAGGTTTCGCTTTTATTTGAGCTTCATCAAAATAATCTGTAAATGATATGTGTAATATGTTTCGGTACATTAGTTCAGCGAGGAAATATACACAACGCAGACCTCACACGCACGAAACCATTCTCTTTCACAACTCATTCCAAAAAATTTCTGATGAAGATTAATTAAAGTGGAGCATTCTAAATTTATAAACTTTTATAATTTTCCTTATCATATAATATAATATAATATCATATATATATATATATATATATATATATATATATATATATATATGTGTGTGTGTGTGTGTGTGTGTGTGTGTGTGTATGCACACATAGACAAATATGTGCGTATCTGTATATATGTATAAATATTATTACTTGACAGTATTTAGCACATTTGCAAACACATATACTCTCACGCACGTACACACCCAGACACACGCGCATAGATAAAGTGAAACCAACCTTGAAACATTCCCGAAACTCTGGTAATGTTTTCCCTTTATGTCCAAAACAATAGGGCTAGAATTTTCTAATACAAACTCTATCTAATGAATGCACTTGTAAAACAAAAGCCAGAAAATAACACGAGTTTGTAAAACTATTGCCAAAACTCAGTCCGAGATCTTTTTCAAAATGATAAGTACCAAATGACATTTAAATATTTGACTGTGTGCGTCACATGAACTTAAATTAATGTGTACTAGAGTAGAAAATTGTGTGTCTGGAAAATTGTCTATGTGTCCCATGTGTATTGCATGGTGTGATTATTTCCGATAAAGAAAGGAATCTCTTGTGTAGGATGAAGTTTTTACAACCAGTGTGTGTAAAATACGTACTGCAGAAATTGTAGTTTGTATTGAGAAAAAAGAAGACAAATAAAGTAGGTTTTGGTTCATTTGAGTCGTTTGCTTTACAGGAATAATCAACAAGCTTTAAATTTTATATGACGAAAATTTCACTTGGAAATTCCTGGTTTCATATTTAGTCTAGGGTGGGGGTTAAACGAAGAATGTTTGCAAGTGATTTTTGCAAAATGAGTTTACAACGGTTTTATAACATTGTTGATGGAAATACCAAAAAAAAATAAATAAATAAATAAATAAATTAAAAAAAAAAAATGAGCGATAAAAATAGATTTAGAATGAATTGAAGAAACCAGAATGTTTTTGTATGAAGTTTTCATTAATGAGTGGGATAATGTAAATTTAAAATGAAATAAAAAAAATCCCTTTGTGGGAGTTGCATATTATCAAAAGGCAAACGACACACGCACACACACGAACATGCACGCATACACTGAAAACCTGAAGGCGTAACAGGCGCTGAATCTTTTTTTTTTTTTGTTGTTTGTTTAAAACAACTTTCTCTGTATTTTTCAATAACTTTTCGTCACTTTTTCCTTCTTTTCTTTTCTCAGATTTTTAATTTTCTTTTTTCTTTCGTTTTTTTTCTTTCTATCTTTTATACTTTTTTTTTCTTTTTCTTTTCTTTTTTTTTTTTTTTTTTTTTCGTCACTTACCGGTTTGAGAGGTAAAGATCCAAAATAGTAAAACCAAGGAACACTCCAAAGAGATATATCTCACTCGGGTAGCCATCTTTCCTCCGCATTGTAGAAAATGCCACGGAGGAAAAAAAAAGGTCACATGAGAAAAAGAAAGCAGTGTGGGGAGGTAGAAATTAACGTAATCAAATGGGAGTGGGTAGAGTTAAACAGGGGACAGCAACTGTTATGCTGAAATTGGTGGTGTTATGGGATATGGTGGACGTGGGCTGGGAGGATGGTGGGGGGGGTCACTGTTACTTGGCTGGGCAGTTAACGCAACTAACGCCGAACGAGAGATTTTTTTTTTTCCTTTCCCGGAACGTATCCTAGCTGAAGAGTCTCTCGATTGTACGGCCTGCCTGGGTTTGTATTAGTTAGGTGTAGTGTTTCTGGATATGATGTGAGCAACGCTCGGCACACCAGTCGAGAACAGCGACGACACTGAAGAAACACACACAGACTCCGATACGCATGCGTGTTTGTCGGGTTCTCTCCATCTCCTAGCGCTCTCGCTCTCTCTCGCTCTCTCTCTTTTCGTCTTTCTCCTCAGCCTCCCGAGATGAGTGCTCTCCTCCTCCTCCTCCTCTGACTTCGCCTTCCTCTTCGTCGCCTCCAACTCCACCTCTCATTACAACTACTCCGGCTCTTGTTTTGCCTGGTACGTCTTTCACCCTTATAACATGACCTCCCTCTGTCTGACGTACGGTCTCTCTATCACTCTCACACTCTGTCTTATATTCCGCTGTAGTTTCCTCACTATTATGTCTCTCCCTTTCAATTTACTAGTATTCTTCTGCACACGGACAGTCCGCAATAACCTTTCCGTTTCCTCTTTTTTCCTTTCTTTCTTTTCTTATTTGGGTTTATTTATCTATCTATCTATCTATCTATCTATCTATCTATCTATCTATATATATATATATATATATATATATATTTCTTTCTTTCTTTCTTTCTTCCTTTCTTTCTTTTTTTCTTTCTTTCTTTCTTTTTTTCTTTCTTTCTTTCTCTTCCTGGTTCACATCCTACTATCTATCTATCTATCTATCTATCTATCTATCTATCTATCTATCTATCTATCTATCTATCTCTTTTTAATCCTTTTTTCTTTCTTACATTTTTTTATTAATCTAAGGTAATTTAATTTTCTCCATTATAATCTATTTCTTCACTATCGTTCTGAGTGCTTTCATTTCAGTTTTGTTTACGTTTCCTTACACAATATCTCACGCATTATGCTTGTCACTGACACAGTCTTTTAAATACTACTGCCAATTGCAACACATGTCAGCAGGTTTTTGCCACGGAATGATTATATATATATATATATATATATATATATATATATATATATATATATATATATATATATATATATATATATACGAGGGCATACTCGGATTATCTCATCAGGTGTGATAACACAAAAGCTGACCAAAAGAAACAAAACCAGGCATTTTCGGAATGGAGAGTGTATTCTTAGTTAGTATCCGAACTTTTCAGCCTCACACTTCTGACTTGATAGGTTAGTTAAGGTTGTTTGATTTTTACAACATGCTAACTCTTGTTGGATTATTTAATTTAAAATGTTGATATGTGTCACTCGCAATCGTCAGCCAGCCAGATTATATGTGTGTGTTTGTGTCTGTGTGTTTGTGTGTGTGTGGTTGTGTGTGTGTCTGTATGTATGTATGTATGTATGTATGTATGTATGCATTGCTACCAGCAAGCAGAAATATTTCTTCTCCTGATGATGGCCATGTTGGCCGAAACTAGTTGAGGAATCTGAATGAAATAATAATAATAAAAAACGAAAGAATATTAATCTACAACCCAGTGTGTCTGAAGATTTTAATTTTTATTATTTTTTATTGTTCAATATATATATATATATATATATATATATATATATATATATATATATATATATATATTTATCAGAGTAGTCTGATACGGTGCTACAATACTGGTGACTTCAGTTCAAATCAAACTCCTTATGGTGGTAAATAACATGGGATACTAACTACTATGAAACAGTTACCTTGGATCAGGAGAGGGTTACCTTGTCAGAAGCGAACACATTCTACTTACTGGACTGTCTAACGAATTGCACGCGCAGCGAACGGTATATGTATTTATTTACTAAGCTAAAAACAGTCGAGCACAAAGCAATGGCAAGTGCTTCTAAATGTAGCTTTTTAACTCTTTTGCTTTATAGAGCATATTATCTATCTATCTATCTATCTAGAATATATATATATATATATATATATATATATATATATATATATATATATACACACACACACATAGATATGTATAAAAAAGATATATATTTATACATATGTATAAATAATATATATATATATATATATATACATATAAGATCTCAAAAACAACCACACACATCTATCTATCTATCTATCTATCTATCTATCTATCTATCTATCTATCTATCTCTCTCTCTCTCTATCTCTCTCTCTCTCTGTATATATATATATATATATATATATATATATATATATATATATATATATATATATATATATATATATATGTATGTATGTATGTATGTATGTATATGCATTTACGATTGATTGTTTTATTGTGATTCTAAGAAATAAGTTTGTTCCTTTTTATTGTTCACATTGTTACGGCTCTGGCCTAATTCTAAAACTGTAAGTACATTACTTTAACAAAATATTTATTTGCGATATATTTTATTATACCGACAGATTTGTTTAAGCATAACATGTGATAATAACCCTATCGTGATCTTTCATGCCTGTATGCAAGCACTTACTGACTTTAAATATTTATTTGTATAAAATCTGCTTTTAAGTTTGCGTAGATTACACATTCAAACTTGAGCAGACTTACCTGTTGTTAGTGTATTATAAATTGTATTTAAAGAAAACCTTTTTCACCCTATGCCTGGCCATCCATATTGAAGAACAAAAGTACATTGTTTACAAATGAATATCTATTAAAGCTACGTGTAATATTTAGTTGTAGGTATTAATTGACTATCTTATTTTATATGAAATAATTTTTAACACATATATTAGTAGTTAAGTAAAATGATTTTGGTTAAATTAAAAATCATATTTTAAGCAAATGTACTTAATGTAAAAGTTTTATGCTTTATTTTAAAAGAATCGATAAAAAAATGTGTAGTTTTTTTATTATTTAGTTGATGAATATAAAACCGCCTATGACCGCTGCGTATGACACCCGAACCCCTAGATCGGGGTGTGGACTGATTGCAAGCCTCGGGATGTGCTTTGTGGCACTCGCTATATTAAAATCATTTGATTTTTTCTGGCTATATTTATATACGTTTGAAATTCAAATAAACAGGAAAGACAATAAAAAGGATGAAGCATTTTCGCGGATTTGATTCCATTGTGTAGTCTTTTTTTGTTCAAATCCGTGAATATGTTTTGTTCATACTAAATATCGAAAAACACTCTATAAAATTCATTATTTTTTATACATAATGTTGAATGTGTTAAAATTATTCCACTTTCTTTTTAACAAATTTCAAGGTGACGTTAAAAATGTGGTGGCTTATTTAAGACGGAATAATCTATGGTGACATTTATATTTAGATACATTGTATTTATTTTGAATTTTTTTATTTGAAATGTTGACCTACATTGCATAGGATTCAATATTGTACATAATTAGGATACGATAAAATTTTCATTTTATATTAACTATGAAAATTGAGATGTATTTGAATGACGGGAAGCGTTTCTTAGATTTCAGGGGCATCATAGTGGGGGCATGGTAACCTTGAACAGGCCCTGAATCTTACTAGAGATACTTAAGTCAGCAATGTCACATATACATACATTGATAAATGCAAAAAAAATATTGCCGACTCTTTTTGTCCTCCGATAGACTTTATCAAGGCAAATGTAAAGATTTATTTCGCGTCAAGTATTTAGAAACAGAAGTAAAAATGGTCGTTAAGTTTTCATTTTTTTAAATTAAAGAACACTCATAGTATACTTCAGGCTAATGAAAATTATGCAGGATGCTAATTGATATCATATTAATAGATAACAAAAGTGTGAATAAGTGTTGTCATCATTGTTGATTTTTTTAATGTAAATATTAATTGTATTTTAGTTTCAGAAATGAATTCATATATTTATTTAATTTAAATATTACAAGCTTTTGCATTTAACAATTTTATTTAATTTTTATGGTCATGTTGGGAAAGAATATATATTTTGGGAAAGGAGATCTTTGAAAAAAATCCGAGGCGCAGATTTATATTTACGTATGAATCAATAGCGGCAGTTTCAAGAATTTTCCGTCTAAGTTACGCTTTTGTTAAAAGTCTAGGCATTCTTGAGTTTGAAGGTGTGGCTGAACTTATTTCTATGTCAAACAAATGCATCTGATAAATTGTCATGTATAAGCGTTTTTGTGTTCATAGATATGTTTTTATTTAAATTTCTGTAGATTTCTTACTATACTGAGAGAGTAGTGATGGTAGTTTGTCATATATATATACATATATATATATATATATATATATATATATATATATATATATATCTACTTCAGCAGTATTAATGTTATGAATATAGATATGGATGTACGTATGTATATATGTATGTATGTATGTATGTATTGTGCGCGTATGTGACACGTGTGTATATCAGAGAATAGATAGTTATGGGAATCAACTCCATGTTGAAAGAGGGCTTGAGACGTAAAATTGACAGTCATTATGTTGCGTCCATATTGTGCTTTTGGCATGCTCGATCTGTCTGCGTCTATCTTACACACGCCCCTCCCTCCCCCCCCTCTCTCTCTCTCTCTCTCTCTCTCTATATATATATATATATATATATATATATATATATATATATATATATATATTTATTAATTTTTCGAGGGCACCTGTCTATTAGGGCTGCTAGAAAATCCCTATTTCAGACGCTCGCTCAGTGCTAACGTATAGTTTATAGTGCAACTCAGTTACATGTTCTGGGAGAGAGTGTGTTATCTAGCGTGATCAACAATCTGAACAAGGTCAGCACACTTAAACCCTCGGTCACGATGACTTGTGAGTTTGTGCTAGCCAAACGTGCCGCACGCTGGAATCGATACATCGTGACAAATCGCCTATGGCGTGATTCAAACCCGGATCACATGGTCAGAAAGCGAACGTTCTAACCAATCAGGCATATATATATATATATATATATATATATATATATATATATATATATATATATATATAAGTGTGTGTGTGTGTCCCAGTATAGGATAGGTGTAGACAGAATAAATTCCAATAACCAAAAATACTATACTTAAAAGAGTGCTCAATACAGAATAGAGCAAATATACTTTATTCAAAATTTATAACATAAATATGTTATAAAATCACTACAAAAAAGCCATTTGTTTCAACAATTCTGGTGTCTTATTAAGTGGTAGTTTTGAACCAACACTTGACAAGATACAAGAAGTGTTGAAACAAAATGGCTATTTTTTTTGCAGCAATTTTATAACATATTTATGTCATAATTTTCGAATAAATTTTATATATATGGGCACGTGGCCGAGTGATATAAACAAACCTACACATGCTCATATATAAAAGATTTTGTGCAAATATTTAATGTTTGTGGAATTCACGAGCAATTCTTTCTTTCATGTGTTATGTTCAATCAGAACATTGGAGATCATGGCTCTTTCCTGTCCTGTAGATTTTAGGATATTTTCTTTCTATTTTTTGCTATCTCTCCTGCATCGTTTTCTGTCATCAATTTCCACAAGGTCGGTAGGTATATTATTACTGCATTCTTCTCTCCCACTTGCCTTCATTATAACTTGTGAGTGTCACGTTTCCAAAGCCATCATTCTTCCTCATGTGTCCTAGCAATTTCAACTGTCTCTTTCGAATTCAAAATACAAGTGTCCTTTTTGATTCTATTTTTTCTAAATCTTCGTCATTGCTCACATATTCAGACTATGGCATTCCCAGTAACATTATGTAGCACTATATTTCCGTTTCCTAATCTGTAAGAAGATTATCCGGCATTAATTGCTGTATCGATCGATTGATGTTACATAAGAGTTTAGTACTTTTTTTTAATTTTATTTCTAACAAGATATTCCTGTGTCTTTATTCTTTGCTTAGCTTTTTGGGGTCATTTTTCTTTATATCGATGCTTCTTCGGATTTCGGTTTAGAATTTACCGTCTTCTGTTCAGCCATTTCCCGGATATTAACTTTTTGTACTTGCTTTGATCACCAATTTCTAATTCAAAAGTTAGACTGCCCCTTTTGCTGACAATCATACATTCTGTCTTCTTACAGTCTATCTTTAGTCCTTTCTTCTCGCATCCATTTACTATGTTTAGTAGGTGTACCTGTAGTTACCTTACTGTGCCTGTTATCAGCACTGTCACATCTGCATATCTAAAGTTGTTAAGTATATGGTAGCCAATAAGTAATCCTGATAGGAATCCATTTTCTCGCAGAATGACTACGACCTATGAAGGATGGGTTAATAAGGTGAGAAGATAAATATTTATGTTGCACATATTTCTATTGTTGTCTATTTTCTAAATTCAGACTAGTTAGATATGTTATGGATTGTTTTCATCTATTCCTCTTCTCTTGTGAGTGTCATATTTCCAAATCACTCTTTAAACATTTTGTGCTCTAGCAATTTCAACTCTCTCTTTCTAATTCGAAATATTGAAAATCATGGCTCTTTCCTGACCTTTGTAGTTTTTGAGGATATTTTATTCTATTTTTTTTTTTTGCTATCGAAATCGTTTTCTGCCATTCATTTCTAGAAGGTCAGTAGGTATGTTATTAGCGAATTCTTTTGTCCCTCTTGCCTTCGGTATGACTTGTGAGTGTCATATTTCCAAATTTCTTTTAATCCCTTTGTGGCCAATCATTTTCAAGTCTCTCTTTCTAATTCGAAATACAAGTGTCCATTTTGTTTCCATTATCTCTAAAACTTCGTCGTTGCTCACATAATCACTCAATGCTATTCGCAGCATCCTTCTGTAGTGAATGCTCACTATAAATGTCTATCAAAGGAATGATATTCACCATGATTAATTTCACATGACAATATGTGTGCACGCGTGTGTCTCTCTGTGTGCGTGTGTGTGTGTATGTGTGCAAGTAATATTCTTGGAAAATATACATTCATAATTTGGAACTATTAATTAATTGCTCTTTGAAAACAATTACATAACCATTTCCAATTATAATGATTGAGTGGCATTTTTTATTCTATTTAAATAAGATGCCTGCCGTATGTATGAAACTTTTTTTCGAGTATATTTACCTCGTTTCGACAGATCGCTATGCAATTGTTTCTCTTCGTTTTGCCAGGTTTACATAGAGCCTCGTCAATCCGCTTAAATTTACAAACGATTAGTGGAGAAATCCTGTAATTTTACTTGTTTAGTGAAACCAAAAATGGTGTGCCGATGTGTCGGGGTTAAAGGAATTAACATGTTTGTTATACTGCCTATCAAAATCAAAATGTCTGCCTATGCAATTTAAAGAAAGTATTGATTGGTTAAATAAGCTGAACGTTCGTGAGGGTTGACCATGTTTTCATTTCATTGGCAAGAAAAAGCTTTTATCTATAAGTGTAACTAATCTTCTCGCAAGTTTAAATTAAAAAAATTGACTGCAAATGGGAAACTGAGAATTTGCTAGTGCGTTATTATTATTAAGATAAAGATATCTCACGTAAATCATTGAATTTATTTAATATAATACAGTAATGATTCAGGGTATGGGTTGTTTTACATCCTGTCTTTTTTTTTTTAATTTAACAAAGGCACTGTCAATTGGCAGCTGAATGTTAAAGGGATAGACAATACATAGTGTAATAATTAAAAAAATAATACCAAAGATATTCAAGAAAGTGACGTTATATATATATATATATATATATATATATATATATATATATATAT